ATATATATATATATATATATATATATATATATATATATATATATATCGAACAGAATGAAATTAAAAAAGAACATACGACGTGGTCTGTTTTCTCTGGGTGTGAATTACATTGTTTCATTAGTACGATGAGACTCGGCTGCATGGAGAGCTTGCGGGACAAGTAGAAACACTAGAATGATGCGTAGCCATCTGATTGGCCGAGGTCTGGCTAAAAAAAGCGCGCCTCTACTTACGCTTCTATTGGTATATCCAGCGTTTACTGAAAAATCCAGAACTATTTGAAAATGAAATATTTTTGGCCAATCGAGCGTTCTAAATAAGAGAATTTGCCTTTGCTTTTTTCCCTGTAAGATCAGTTTGACGTGAAAAGATCTTTCCGTACGGGTCAAATTGAGAACACAGATTTAGGGAAATAGATCTCTGATTGGGTAAACGGTTGGCCTCTAGCGACCAAAATAATGATCTAAACGTATTAATAACGACATTCGGACGGATAAAGGAATTTCCGATCTTTATTGAGCTATATAAATAAACGAACACAGTATGAGTCTAATATTTACACCCATGATATACATTTAACGCAACGATATCCTCCCGTTTTCGTTCTCGGGGCCAGGACATTCTTGCGCTGGTGAATCCGATACGTACGAAACGAAACAGAGAGACCCGCGAGACGATCAGATTGTTCTAAACAAGAACTATTATTTCTCGACGACTGACCGAACTTGTTTCTTTTCTTTTCTTTTCTTCTTCTTCTTCTTTTTCTTCCTTTTTTTTTTTTCCTTATAAAAATTGCATTGCGCATAGCCATTACATAGACATTACATCCTTACATTGTGGAATCGATATCACGTGAAATCCACAAAAAAAAAAGGAAGCACTGTTTACAATCCATTCGGTCGACCATCGATTCTGGCAGTCGCGAAGTATCTCATATTCAAGAATAAATATCTCATTGAAATACGAAGGGGATTACGTGACTTCGATCATGACTATATTCGCGCACGAGAATAACGGCGATCTACGCGACGATCTTTCGATCATTTCTTTTTTTTTTTTTTTTTTTTTTTTTATGTACCGACGACCACATCCGACGTGGACGCACTCTCTTGCGCTTCGGCTATGTCCTTCTTTTCTTCCTGCTCTACGCCCGATATCACATACACTGGTTGCTGGTACGCGAGGAAATGCTGGTCCGCCGCTAACGTTTTCGATGGATCTTTCATTTTTATCTGAAATAAATAATTGTTCTTTATTCCTGTATGTTCAATCTTTTGGAGGAATAACAAAAGACCAAAAAAAAAAAAAAATAATAATAATAAGATGGTAGAAAAATAAAGACATAAAAATCAATAGAAAAAAATAACATTTAATTGAAGTTGAAAATATACCTTTTTACGATACAGCATCAACAAGATGAGCAAACTGCTGATTATGAAAGCGCTTCCAACGGCCAAGACCAAAGTGGCAGTTTGATAAACGGGCGTTTCTACCTCGGTGAGGATCTCTCGCTGTTCTAACGCTACGATTCTACTTTGCATAGCTATCGGGGGTGATCTGTGCGTGAATCGAGAAGTAGTTGCGTCCGCGAATGACCCTAGCATAGACAGCTTTTGTATTCTGGTTAATTCTTCCAAGTGGAATGCCACGTCTACTTTGTTCGGTCCTATCACTTCGAAACTGAGTATAGCCGAGTCTTGATTGATCTCCACTCGTACGTCGTCCTTTATCCTGGCGCCTAAATCGTGTAGAAGATCTTCCGTTTGTCTGATCAGCGTGGCCTCGTCATCGCTGAGGAACCGACCAGGGAAACGTAGAGTTACTTCAACAGCTTCAACTGGAGTTGGCACTAAAAAAATGATATACGTATATATTTTCACCAACGCGTTAAATTTCATTTCTCCTTGAACGTCAACTGACCCTATCAAGATTTACAAGAAATGGCTCAATGCGCGACAGATAAAAAGGAGATATCATATCTTACAGCAAATATTCGTTCCTTTCAGGAACGGCTCCGAGCCAATGAGCTGATTGCCGGCCTCGTCGACACACCAGCATGTATCGCCAGCGCACTGCGTCGGCTCGAACCTGCCCTGGCGATCGCAAATGGCTGGAACGTGGCCTTTATCCTTCATCGCCTGACACCTTGTGCCCAACACTTTCCCAATTTGCTTCTCGTCCGTTTCCAAGTTAATTAGAGCGTTCTCCATGAACGCTTGAATTTCACGGTCGATTTCCTGTATCGCCGGCCCTCTGCCTCCCCGTCTGGCTTGTCTGAAGTTACACTTGGGCTCCGACCCTCTGGTAAGCGAACCTTTCACCGGCTGACCCTTCCGGTTGACGCACCAGCAAACACCAACGTGCTCCAGACACTGTACAGCTTCCCACATGCCATTCTCCGGGTCGCATCTCGGTAAGAACGTCGGTTGCTTCAGCCTCTGAGATGTTTTTAAGTTCTTCTCCCTGAGTCTTTCGCACTGCGACAGTACAGGGCAGACTGTATCGCAGACCAGACGGCTGGAGAAATCATTGTAACCCAAAGTACACTCGGACTTCCTTCTACATTCGTTGCGCTCCGGATCGAAGTACCATCTTTCAGTCTCGTTGAAACCCATGCCTAGGTTACACGATACTTTTCGCGGTGGTTCGAAGCAAACTTCGCGAGGTTTCGGACAGCATACAGCGTATTCGTCCAGAGGTGACAACTCGCACTTGTGCGTGGACGGACAGTGTTGACCATGTGGCCCACAAATCGCAGGAGAACCATTTTGATTCAACAGAGGTGATCCGTTCGGGCAAGGATTGTCCTTCTTGGGCAAACAGACCGGTACGGGTGGACACGGTGGTACGCTACAGGCCACTTCGACCATTCTGCAAGCCTCGTTCTCTCCACGACACGTCACGCTCTTGCACGGATCTCGGCAGGAACACGTTGGACAACCGCTGTCTGGATCTAGCTCGAATCCATCGGAACAATCGAGCTTGCAATCGATCTCCGGGCATCTGAGCGGTGTGTTACACTTTGGCACCACACCCTCGAGAACCCGGGTACCTGCCGCCTCTCTGCCCTCCTTGTCCACGCACCAGCACATCCCGTTGTGACATTGAACCGGCTCGAACGCTCCACTGGCGTCGCATCTAGGAATATAAATCCTTCTAGCCGGTTCCCCGGACTCTCTAGCCGCGTGTTCTGCCACCGCGCGAGCGTGCTGGCAAGCCGTGGCCATTACAGGAGCCACGCATTGCGTTCCGCAACCTGTTGAACAGCACTTCTCCGTGGCGGAGCATTCTTGATCGTTGCTACACTGCAGCTCACAACTGGACGAACTTGGTACCAAGTACGGGCACTGGCCTGGTTTCATGGCCAGGCAAGCTGGAACAGCTGGACAACTCTGCCCTGATCCGCAATTCACGTCGACCATCGTGCAGATCTCGTGCGAACGGCACGTAGCATCCTTGCAGGGATCGTGGCAACGACACTGCTCGCAACCAGTCACATCCACTTCGTAGCCGTAGGGACATGTTAAATCGCAGGACAGAGATCCGCAAAGCTTGAGAAGATCGTTTATCTCTTTACAATCGGTGCTACGATTCACGCCGCTTTTCAGGACAACGCCACGATCGTTCACGCAGGAACAGGTACCGTTGTAACATTGCAGAGGTTTGTAGCTGCCGTCCTTCTCGCACTGAGGCGGCGAAATCGCCAGTGACATATCCTCCCTGGTTCCCTCCATACGTTCGTTGAATTCTCTCAAGTATTCACACACTGAAATATCATTTGATAATAATTTAATGCGAAACGAATTGTTGAATTAATTTCAATGGGCAACTTACTAGTTTGCGGTTTCGTCGAGTTGGCTGACGTCATGCAGCACACCGATTGCCCAGCTTCCGGTACAACGGTGCATTTATAGCCTTGGGGACAGGTGTCGTTCGCAGAACAGGTTACAGCGTTCCGTTCGTCGTCGATTAGAGGAGTTCCGTAGACGCAAGGGCTTTGATAAGCCTTCTTCGGCTTACACTCTGGCCTGGTTGGACAGAGGAAGTCTGGACACCCGTCTTCGCGATGCAGAACGCATTGTTCTCCAATCGGGCACGGGAAACTGGCGAAGAAAGCAGTTAGTACCGGAACAAATATTGTTACGAAATATTGTACTTAAGTAGAGTGTTACGTAATTATACACCTACCCTTCGCAAGGGTTGTCGCATTCGCAAGTTGGACAGCCGGATGCGTCAGTTTTAAATCCATACTGGCAGACCTGGGCGCACTGTTGGGACACACAAGACGCCGGAAGTGATCTTCCCTTCGTTATCGATTTGCAGTCGACTTTATCCGCTGGTCCCATGGTTCCAGATATCTTTCGGCCGTTGTTGTCCACGCACCAGCAGACCAGACCGTTTCTCGAACATTGTCTACCTTCGTATCCTCCATCTGCAAAGATATCATTCAATGTTCGTTTTTATACGAATACTGTGACGAGACACTGTGAGAATGAAAAATTCCGAGATAATATCGATTATCTAGTATACGGTGGAGTTACTCTAATTATCTGAACTGCAAATTTCAATTGCAAACACGTGAACGCAATCAGAAATGTAAACTCATTATTTGAGCCAGGAAATTGTACGTGACAGTACAAACTGTCCGTCCCTATATGCATAAACTATTTGCTCATCAACAGGTTCAGATGAACACAATTCTACCATAGAATATCTTTCATCGAACAACCTCGGTTTAATATCTCATTCAAGGTTCCTATTCACCATCATCACCTCGTTGTAGAATTCCAAGGGTACTTAAATTAGGAATGTAAGCTCACATTTAACCAAGAAATGT